CTCAGTTCCCCTTACTCTTAAACACCAATATCATAGTTTCTGCTCAGAAAGAGCTGATGGAAGTAGGAAAGGCATTCATTTCAAATTCTCCACATCTTGTTTACTCCTCTAAAATTATAGCAACAGTTTATGATGTACCTGGTTTGTCATTAGAACTGCAGTAGTTAATTTCTACGTATTGAAGAGAGGCCAAATCTGTAGGCAACCTCAAGATCTCTGCAATAGAGGAGTACAGGCTTATTCATTCGTGCTGATGAATAGAGGGTGAGGATGATAAAAGGCATACAATTACTATTCTATACTAAGACAAATCTGAATGCTCTATGTCTGAAATTTAGTAAGAGTTTTTTAAAAATACAATCTAGCAATTATTTTGCTTGACTCCTGTGTTCCTCCACTATAAATTCTCTGTATATATTAACACTGCCCTCCTGGCAGGGACTTGAGCCAGCTGTTAATGGTTTTGTTGCTGGGAGAATAATTAAAAAAAAAAAAGAAGATTGTGTGTCCTTGATGTGTCGCTGGTATAAATAAATATTTTCAGAGATGGATATGAACCTAGATGCTATAATTTTTACTTGACAGACTAGGACAGCTGGGCTGAGAGCATCTGACAGCTAGATACAGTCAGATTTATAAGACTGAGTGGGGAAGCATGACAGACATATGTACTTATTAAAGATGCATTTACAAAATGACCCAGTTTAATTTGACAACTCTGCTCTTTAAAGCCTCAGAAAGTCTAAAGATATTACTTTGTACATAAGATCAAGGCTCTAAAGATTCAGTGTAGCTTAAAAAACACAGGCAAATACTTTCCCACATTGATAAAATGTAAGTACATTCATGAATGCTGTAAAACTAGTAAATATTTTAGCAGGATAAATTACAGCAGCTGAGTGATTCCACATATTTAGTGGATGTAAAAAAATATATTTATGTATAATATATATGCAGTATTGCATGTTGTATATTATTTTATAAAATAGTAATAAATTATTTTATTGTAATGTGCAATGAGAATATTTGTATATTAAAGTATATATATCAGGACGTACTTTCATGGTAAATTCCTAACATCAGTATTTTTGCTGTTTATGAAATTGACAGCTAGCTTGGACAAATTCATGTATTTTTCCCTGGAAATTTATGAAAAAAATATAAACGTGCTTCCACTACAGAAACAACAATCTAATCTGACTTACTTTTGAAATTCTGCTTTCACAACATGGTCTCTCACAATTCATCTACAATTTATGCGGAAGTCAACATTTCAGAGACCATACAAATTGTCCTTTACTGTTTCTCTGACTCCCTAAAGATTACTTATTGGAAATATATTTTCAGTATTTCTCATTGATGTAACCAGCCTTCGAGGAGAGGAAATAACAGCATAATAACAGTTGATCAGCACAATAGCAGTAGTTATTGTGTTCTTTGTACATGTTGTAGTTTCCCTGGAAGTAAATAGGAGACATTACTTTCAAAGGAACTTACGTATTTTCCATGTATGTTATATGATGCCCTTCATTGGACTCAGCTGTGTTAAACCAGAAGATAGGAACTTCCTATTCATTTTCATGAATGCGGTGAAGCTTTTGAGAATACATGTCATCACAAAAGATGGCTAAGTGCTTGTGCTTTTGCTGAATTCTTACTGAAACTTCAAGGACCTCCTAATTTAAAGTTTCCTTGGGAGAGTAGAGAGGAGCATCAAGATTTAGGTTTGACTTTTTTCTTTTTTGTTTTGTTTTGTTTTGTTTTGGTAGCAACACTGCAGAAAAGATGTTCTGCAGAATTGTAAGTTGTCTTTCCATCCCTGTCTTTCAGATGAAATTCATCTCTTTAGAAAATACAGGCATCACCTTTCTAGTGTAAATCAGTGCAGCAGAAAAAGACTTGCATATCTTCCATGCAGATAATATAGTACATTTGTATAAATAGTAATAGATATATCCAGAAATCTTAGCAAACTTCAAAAACTTTTTACTATATTATGTGATTACAACTGAAAAAAAATGTTTCTTCTTTTTGCTGTCAGAAAAAATATGCAGAAAAATAAACTTATGTTTCCTCCCTTTCCCTCTGGATTCAGATTATTCTATTCACTTTTTCCAAATAGAATAAGTGGAAAATTTTCCTTACTGTATCTAATACAACACTGCAAAGGAAGAAAGAAACTAAAGGAAAGAGGCAGGCCAGCTGGCAAGATAAAAAGCAAATAAATTAAAAAATGTTACTGCATTATATTGCAAAAATGTTGGACAATGTGAAGTAGCTGAATATAAACCAGATATAATAATTGCTTTAAAGATAAAACTCAACACTATGTTACTTACTCATGCAAATTGACAGTCTCATCTTCATTTTCTGCAGTCCAGCTTTTCTTCACTCACTTCAGTTTCTCACTTGAAATGCTTATCATTCTTGTTTTACCCTAGGAAAACCCTTCACACTTTTGCTTCTCATCTTTCTTACTGACAACAAAGTAGATACTATAAGCTTAAAGAACTGTTGTGCGCCAATAGACCATAAATAAACTAATAACTCTAATAAACAAGAAAAGAAAGCACTGCACAAGAAATCTGATCTATCAAACAAAGAAAAAATAGCAAGAAATAAAGAAATGCAATGCCAACACTTTCTCCGAAATAAATTTGTTTTCTCCAAAGTGCAACATTAATTTGTAGACAGAAGTTTGGAGAAGTCATTTCTAATAAGTAGGCCCACTCACCCTGAGCAAGTTTCTGAAGAATTTCTTTTATTTTAAAACAAACAACAACAACAGACAAAATTATATATTTTTGCTACACATATATGAACTCCTGGGTCCAGCGTGTTTGCAATACATCAGAATGACTCCAGTGCATACTAAGGTGATAATAAAGATGTTTATTGTACTTGAAAACTTTATTTTCCATGGGCAAAAATTAGCATGCCATTTGTATTGTGTGAAAGGAAAAGACCAAATATTTTCCATCGAGTCTGTAGCCAATTACAAGCAGAAAGAAGGTTTTCAAGGAGGTGATTATAATGCATAAAAAAATTCAGGAATAGAAAAGTTTAATCAGCTAAACAGACTTTCTAGTGCATAGTTCATTAATGAAAGGCTTACTTTTTCTTGTAATAATGATAAGTTTTATGTGAATTAAGATCTTTGACCTCAATTGATGAGAGTAAAATTCATAGTTACGAATGTAAAATACAGAAAAATAAAAATAAAAACAAACAAAAAACAAACCCAAAAAAACAACTTTGCAGCTCTTAAAATGCGAATTAAATATTCTTTAATTCTGTTGTGCTATATCCAGTCTCAGACCCCATTTCAATAGATCTGCTACACTTTAAATAGGAGGTTTTGTAATATGTTAAGAGGACACAAGCTGCGGCATGCAGTTAAGTCTTTTGAGTAACTACCCTTATCACTGATTTTCCCCAACTCCTTGACCTTTGTGTTTTTGAGCCACCCTAAAATGCTGATAAGTTTTTAGATACTATGTTAAAAGTCACTACTTTTAACACAGCTAACTGTTAGAAAAAAATTGATGCCAGATCCAGTCTATATATAGTGCTTGAAAAGCACATCCTCTTGTTTTCTTAATTTTGGATGAAACACATAAAAATTAAGCTTTAAATGGAAATACATTTTCAAATTCAAGTGGAAAAGAAACTTATGTCATTCTGTAATCACTTAGTCTGTGTGCTATTACTCTTGTTGAACTAGATGGCGTGGATACAACACTAAGGTTCTGCACATGATTAACATTTTATTCTTCCTGTAACTTGCTATAATCCTCATATGAACTTGCAAGTTGGCAACAGCATGATAAGAGTTAGGTGCCAAACTGTATGAGACATTTTTTCCAAACAGAATCACCTTCCTTGAATGTAGTTTCTTTTCCCTCTCTCTTCCTCTTTTCTACTTCTGACCCCCAGTATCTAGTTGGATGTTTCATCTGTACTAGGGACTTCAAGAATTCATCCTAGGCTTAAAATACTCCTTTAAGAGATCTTTCAAACTTTCATCTCTAGCCTTGCTCTTTTTGCCAAGAAATACTGCAGAAAACATACCAGATATTGCAATCTTGGCAAGCACGATGCAGACTGAGGTCCATAGGTTCCAGAAGTGTAGATGTGTCTGATAGTAGCCAGGCATTTTCAGTCATGGCTCTATGTGATATATTAGCAGGTTACTCTGTAGGTTCAATGTCCAAAGAATCAGTCTGGTTGGCCACTTGGTCTTGCAGGAAGCTTTTCAGCTCTCAGGAGCTGGAACAACATCTTTACTCAAATTTTGTGAACATACTCAGTGGAACATCTCAAGGTCCTTACTATAGGCCATATTTTACACATCCACTGAGGGATTTTTAATACCTTAGACAAAGTTTCTGCCTTGTACAGGACTTGGAAATGAAAGCCTGAAGAGTTTTTCTACAAATAGTCAGCTTTTTAATTGAAGATAATATGATGAGATTTTCCCACAAAGCTCTTTCAGACAGTAGTTAACCTAGATACAGGTAAAACAATGAATGGAAGCTGAGCTTGTTAAAATCCCACAGGTCTACTGCCAACATTGCCTCCCACTGTACTATTTGGGGATCATCTCTGATTTATGATTAATGAAAACAAGCTTTTGTCTTCAGCTTTTGTTTGTCAAGGCTTTTTTTATCTGTTAGGAGGAAGAAGTATGGTTTGGCCAAATCACTTCCTTGTTAACATGCTTTCATTCTTGTAGTGAACTCATTCCCATTACATCCAGCAGGTGAAAAATGAATGCATGCACAGCAGCATGATGTGAAATCTCCACAGCATACAGAAACAGCTAGACATTTCAATTCGTTGCTGATAAATTTGTTTCTTTGAAAACATGGAACGTACTTCAAAAATATCAATGTGATGCCTCAGTGAACATCCCTTTATTGAAAACCAGAACAACAATACAATTCTGGTCACAAACAAATGGCCTGACAAAGTCCAAATACAGACAGTCAAGGCCCTGTTCTGTCTTCAGATTCACAAGACTGATTGCTTGTGGAAAGCCCACCATGCACCCCGGGGAATAATTGGCCTTTAATTTATAAAACCTTTAGGTCCATTTTATCCTGATGATGAAAGCTCTCCCCTTTTCCTGCTACCAACCCAATTTGCCAGATTACATTTTGCTCAGAAAAGAGAATAGCTCTATCTGCATTACTAGAAATGGTGGGAACAGGGAAACACTGAAAAATAAACTGATTTGCTCAAAGCCATTAGCATTTGCAAAGAATACTGACTCTCAGACATTGAGTTCACTGTGATGCAGCTTTTCAAGCTGCTCTGTGAGTTGCTTGGTACTCTGGAGATTGTACACTGATGATACAGAAAGAAAGGGAAAAAACATTGTGAATTAAAATAGAAGTTTGAGAAAGTCATAGAACAGGTTATCTATGGAAGCATTTAAATATATGACTGGTGACAGATATGAGTAGCAACAGAAAAAGAAGATAACAAAAGATAAGAGAGGAAATATCTTCAGCACCATTAAGTAACAGGGTAAGAATTTTATTTGTTCCGCAAAACCAAGCATTTGTAAATCAGGAGATGACACATATCAGAATTTAGGTGAGGCATACCTGTCAACTTGAATTTTGAGTAACTACATATAGGAAAATGATTGAAGTTGCTGTAGTTGTTGCATTGATATACCTCCATTTGTCATCCTGGATTTAAAATTCGCGCTGAAAGACCTTGTTTACAATTGTCCTTTCTTTCATTTTGCTTATGGTTCATCAGGGTTTTACATGCCCAAATGCCATAAAGAATGACTGAATCCAAGCTACAACTTCATTTCTTAGTTTCCTTGGAGTCCAAAACTAGTACTGGAGCATTTTCTTCTGAGAAGTTATTAGGTTAGACAACTGGTCAGTTCTTTTCATGCCTTCTAAGTCTCCCATTGGTCAACCAAAGGCCTTGGAAGGAAATTCCAGTGGCTGAAACTTCAGATCCTGTGGAAGTCACAAAATGTCTTCTAGCATCCCACTCCTGTGACCCCAGTGGCTTAGTCTGAGTGTGGTGGCAGCCTCAGCCAAGCTCCTGGGAAGTGGTGGCCATATCCCTTTTCCATGGACCTCCAGGAGCAGCTAGGCAGTACAGCCTTCCCTGAGCTGAAGTCCCCCCACTGCAAATATGGCTAGAGAGAACTAATTCTTCTCACAAGTTTTTTTTTGGCTCCTCTTTAAATCAGTGAGTCTTGTGTGAATAAGCCTCTTCCTCTGTGCTTAGGCATTCTGAAAAACAAAAAACAAATGACTGGCTGTAACTTTGCGTGGGACAATTTGCAGGCTTTTTAGAGTATGAAGACTTCAACCATACAAATTTTCATTAGTTTACATACACAGATAGAAAAAAGTAGTAGTTACATTAGAATGCTTAGTTATACTTTCATATAACAACTTGTATGTCAACAAAAAGAAGAAAATTGGCATTCCTGTTTGAATGGACCCCTCTTATGCTTCAGAATCTAGAACAATTATTGATAATTATGTGATATATAAAACACTGCATGATGGAAAAATGATGGGAACGCTACAGATACAACAAAATTCAGCTCTGTGCTGTAAGTAAGGAACCTACATCCGTCAGCTCACCATGAAAAGAATAAAATTCAAATGACAGCAAACCAGACAAAAAATTAAAAGGTTTTATTTACTCATACTTATGAAAATGTTCACAAAATAGAAGGTGAGTGGATTCAGAAGTACTGGTGAAGTAAGCAGCAATTTTAAAAAGTGTGTTGGGAAAGAATGTATGTAATAAGTCTTTCACACTTTCAGTACAGTTTCACTTCACAAAGATGTGATCACCTTTGATGACTATCTATCTAAAAATTTAACTTCAAGTAGTATCTAAATTTTTGGTAAGAAGATATGCACCACAAGAGAGAAGGACTATGACACTGCAATATAACTGCCCTTAAGGACAGTTCCCCAGGGAATCCCACTCAGCAGTTCCTTGAGCAGCCAAAAGTTTGCTCTCCTAAAGCACAGGGTCCTAACTCTGCTTTTTGCCAGGCCTGCATTCTTCAAGATCACAAACTGCACCAAGGCATGGTCACTACAGCCCAGGCTGCCTCCAATCTTAACCTCTCTAACACTCTCCTCTGCATTGGTGAGCACGAGGTCTAGTAAGGTTTCACTTCAGATTGGTCCATTTATTACCTGGACCAGGAAGTTGTCTTTGACAGACTCCAGGAATCTCCTGGATTGTCTGCCACCCACCATGCCATTGATTTCTAATTCTACAAGCAAAACATGACAAGTATTAACAGAAACTACATTTTGTGGAACTGTAATTGTGAACATAAAAAAAACACACCCCAAACCAATGTTTGTAAGAGTGGTAATGGTATTCTGTTTTCTCAGTGCTATCTGTTAAAAAAAAAAAAGTAATACAAGTTTGTCCTTCAGCATGAAAACATTTTTAAGAATTATCCTTAAGAAAACTGAATGTGAATGAATAAGCAGGGAAAAAAATAAATACAAAAACAAAAGGAATATCTGCTAAAACTGGGCTACTAGATAGTTTCATGGCAGAATTATCTAGGTATTAGTTGCTCTACCACAAAATATGTTCCTGTTGCAACCACAAAATTTAACACATTAATAAAAACAACCAATCGATGTAACAACAGCAGTTGGTTATCTGTAAAGTTCAACACTTAATCATAATTATGTCAGGAAAAGCTGACATGACCAAGTATAAGAAATCATATAAACACAACGTAGCAAGTAACCAGTCATTCCTAAATCATCAATTTGGCCAAGTCTGGCATTGACTTCAATTACTTCTCTTTAAGTTTTCTTGAAAAAAAAATGATTAATCCCTTTTCCATACAGCTTTTCCAGTTATCAAATTAAGATTTAAGCTAAATCCATGAGTGCAATGATATTTAATTACATTAAACCACATAAAATTCGCGATGAGGAAAATAACCACTTGACGACGAAACACTTAATATATTAATAAAACTAGTGCATTTTCTTTCTCATGAAATATTATGCTGCTATCGCAACAACTACTCTTGCTTGGTAGGTGGTTATAAAGAAAACAGAATATTTACAGCCTTGTATACAATTTCTTTTCCTAGGGCACCAGGTGCAATAAACGCCACCAGAAGGATGCTCTAGGCAATGCCATGCTGTCTAACATGGCTTGGCATACATTAGCTCAAAGCCTTTGTGTCTTTGCAGACTTTGATTAAGGGCCACTGTTAGAAGTCCTATGGGTTTTTACTCGATCCAGTGTAGCATAGGGAGTGTTTTTTTTCTTTATCACAGTTGCCAAAAATATGCCAGTTAAGATAATTACATTTCAATTTAAATTGGTAATTTAATGGAAATTTTAAACCATGATGTAGGGCAGGATACATACTTCCAGTCCAAAACCACAACAATAGATGTTGTCTGTAGCAGATGATTTAACAGCTCAGAGCTATATTTTTGGCTCTCCATGAGAAGAGACAGTTTTAGGACTCCCCATAGTTTTACAGAGTTTTCTTCAATCTGTTTTAAGTGTTGCCTTCATTTTTAAGAAGCAGAGCAAAGGATCTGCATGTGTTTTTTGTTTGTTTTAATATAGCAGTATCACCTGCCTGCTATTACGTACTTCATTAACTGTCTTTTCGAGTCATAATAAATGGAAAAAAATTCCTCTTAACAATATTTGCTGCTTTTGGGAGGACAAGTAGAACTGTCTGCCACTTCTCTGTTGTTTTCACTATTTGTTTCAGAGCTGACACAGAAGCCTGGCAGTTGCAACATGCTGTAAGGGGAATCAGTTTCCTTTGTTTGGAGCGCAGTGTGTACCGTCATTTACATAATAAAATCCTCACACAAATAACAGATGGTGAAGAGGCACTCATGTTGCCACATGTTGGAAGCATGATACAGTTCCTGGATGAACTTGTTTGTCTTACTTTTGCCTACAGATGTCTTCCAGCTATTAAACCTCGCAGGTTAGTCAGCGGGTGAAAGGTTTTAAGACAAAAATCTTTTTTAGGCAAAAATCTGTCACCAGAATTTTCCTTTTTCCAGAAGAAGGAAAAAGCTGCATCCTGATAGAAATGCTCAATTAATTGAAATGTTTTACAGCACCATGAAAAAAAAAATAACAGTCTTTCCATTTTACCATGGAATCATAGAATCCTTAGAGTTGGAAAGGACCTTTAAAGATCATCCAGTTCAGCTCTTTTTCAATGAACAGGGACATCCTCAGCTCAGTCAGGTTGCCCAGGGCCTTATACAGTCCTGAAAGTCTCCAGGGACAGGGCATCAACCATAACACTAGGTAACCTGTTGCGGTGCCTCACCATCCTCACTGTAAAAGACTTTTTCCATATATCCAACCTAAATCTACCCTCTTTAAGCTTGAAGCCATTTCCCTTTTTTCTATCACCATGGACATTGCTAAAGAGTCTTTCTCCTTCCTTTCTGTAGCTCCCCTTGACATACTGAAAGACCGTTATCAGGTAACCTTGGATCCTCCTCTTCTTCAAGCTGAATAGCCCCAGCTCTCTCAGCCTGTACTCACAGGAAAGATATTCCATGCCTAGGACCATTTTGTGGCCCCCCTCTGGATGCACCCCAACAAGTCTATGTCTCTTCTGTACTGAGGACTCTAGTAAGGCCTCTCCAGCAAAGAACAGAGGTGCAGGATCACCTCCCTCACCCTGCTAAAATGGTTCACTGTAGAAGACAGCAAACCCCTCTGAATATAAGCTGTTTTCTCTCTTTTTGAATTCTTTTCTGAGCAGAAGTTGGGGATAGAGAGAGCAATGCTAATGCTGTATATCAGTAACATCAGTTCTTGGATACATTACCATTAATTCTATGTGCAAATTAAGTGCCAAAAAAAAAAAAAAAAAAAAAAAAAAAAAAAAAAAAAAAAAAGTCTGTCACATGGAATAACAGCCTTACAGCCTGCATACAGTGCAGTGAAATAAGATCACACTACACTTCCTAATTAGAGCTAATGGATCTGTTTCTGATGCTACTTACACTGATTTTATGATCATATAATCTGTGTTGCCATCTCCAGTGGAGTTTCTCTTAAATATGAATCAGCACCCTGGATGAAAAAGAGGCATATAAATGAGTAGCCAGTCAAGTCTCCTTAGGTGCACTTATTTCTCCTCAGATGCACACTTCCATACTGCTTTCAAAGACAAACCATGCTGCAGTTTCAATATAGGTGTTGGGATTGAGAATGCAGGCAAAATATGGGTCTGTTTCATCACCTCTATTTTATCTGAAATATGGCATTTTGTACAGCTGTGCAAATAGAACAATTACCTAAATCCTTTAGCATCTACAGAAAGAGCAAGAGGAAATAAAATTTTATAACATAACTCTGTCCTCAGCATGTGATGTATTGTTTTTTATGAACATTTTTTGAGTAGACTTATATCCAGTTCATTTACCTTCTCTTTGCTAGAAATTTAGCCTACTAACTTCAGAAATCTAGTTTTCAGTTCAACAATATCTGCTTTTCCAAATTTAACAACTCTACTGATTGGAAGGGCATTCTATATTTTATGAACACCAAGACAGTGAATCCTCCATCTGGCTCTGTGATGGGCAAGCAGATTGAGAAGATTTGTGTTCTTACTTAGAAGCTCCCCATTTTGCGGCATGGCCTCAGAGAGTAATCTCATCTGTGGATATTATGGTGTCCAGAAAGCACCTCAGCACATCAAGGTGACCCTTCATCCTGTCCCATTTTTCTTTGGATACCAACATGCCTAACAGCTCTAAATCACTAACCCTGAAGTTGCTGCGATGGCGTACACAAAATCCTTCTTGTGAAGAATATCTCCTAATGCAGATTCCTGCTCCTCTCCCATTCTCTGGATTTAGCACTGCTGCAAAAATTGCTAGATCATAAATTTTTGTTTTGTGTCTGTCTTATTAACTGCTACAGACATAGAAAGTCTGTCTAACAGAGCTGTTAATTAATCATGTAACATATTTCAGGGAGTACTCCACAAGTAAAAAAAACATATTAAAACAAAAGAAATAAAACCTGCATTGAGCCCAAAACTGAGCCCAAAGCTCAAAAATAAAGCCAGTACACTGCAATGATTTTGTGCTCACATACAGAATGTTAATCTGATGTGATGTTTTTTTCTCCTTAAATGTTTGGTTAGCCCTGATTAACTTGTAGTTGTGTCACACGAGGCCTGCCCATAAGGGAAGAATATTTTGAACTACCATGTTATTAGTTACTACAGTTTTAAGAAATGTAGGCCTGATTACCTCAAAGCATGGAGCCCTGACAATCGGCAGTCCTTCTTCTTTCAGAAGAATCTTTCCTCTTTTAGAAACTTCCACATTAATAGTAACTTGTTACTTTCCAGATATCTAGGAAAAACACATGGCTGCTATATTTCAAAATCATCATGCCCCACAGGAATATTATGCATTAATGCACCAACATTAAACAGTTAATATGAAGTCATTTGAATTTCATGTCATAACATAAAGGCAAAATGAGCAAATTCAGAATCACGCACTTACAAAATTGCATAAAGATACAGACAACAAATGAAATATAAATTTTCTTCATATGTTTTTACATCAAAGTCAAATCCCAAAGGCATCTGTATCTAGAGATGCTTTACTTGGCCCTGATGATGTCACCAGGATTTTACTGCTCTGTATCAAGTTTACACATATTCAGGTTATATTCACAAAAGGGAATATATTCCATTCAGGGATTCCCACTGAGTTTCCTCACGTAGGAAGATAATGTCCTTTTCTCAACTTTCTCCAAGTTTTCTTCCTCACCATTCACCAGATTGGACAAACCCAGAAACCCAAAGATTGAGAAGGGCTGAGAAATATCATCAGGGGGATTTCTTTAGAAAACTTAAAAAAGAACTGCAGTTACTTGTCTCGTGGGAATCTACATCTGACTGACAATAAAAATATGTTATTGTCATTTCTGTTTGTTCTGCATAAATTAGACCTCTAAAGGTACAGCTGTCCATCATGCATTTTAATTATGACAAGTACAATTCTTATGAACAATATAACTCTATAATTACTAATATTTATCAAACAAACAGTACTGGGACTAGATTGCGGATGTAAAACATTCCATAATAGACACGGGCTTCTCAAGATAAAAATAACATAATTAAAACTCTACCTCAGATCTAGCCAGATAAAAATAGTATGCTTGAATAACGAAAATCAAAAGTGAGCAAGAATGAAGACTTTTAAAGAATGGAGAAGAAGTAGAAGCTCACTCAACAATTAAACAGAACTTTGAGGGTTTTAAGAAAATAGCAGAAGAGAATATTCAAAGCAGTGTTAGTGAGTGAACAAAACGGGTCAGCTGTTTAGATAAATGCTTTGTTCTGAAAAGAAGCGAGGTAAAGCAATTGCAAAATTTGCACTTATTCTCATTTTTATTATCCAGAAACATTGTCAATCATAACATTTCATGGTATTTTGTTTTTCTAGTTCCAGACATCAAGGAAGAATGAAAATTAAACAAGACAGAACTTTCCCTTAAAAAATTATCTAATTTTATAGAAATTAGGGTACCTAGACCAATTTTGGCAAGGCAGTTGGCAAGGCAGGCTTCCTCCACTAGTAGAAAGCAATATGTTGCCCTGAACTCAATGATCATGGATGCATATGTCACATTAATTCTTTGCTGATGAAAAACCCATTCCGTTATACACCATGTTTATATCAGACCCTTTATCTTTTTTTCTCTTTTGAGCTGATTTTTGTAATAGATGCCCTTATTCCTCATTACCTCCTTTAAAAACCCTAACTAACATTGTTTCGGCTTATTATTGTTCTCGGTTGTAATGGTTTTTCTTGAATTTAAATTCAGTTGTTTTTCTTTCTAGGTGCTGTTTTCTTTTTAGATATCATATACTGTCTAAGGCTCCTCTACTTTGGCCTTTCTCTGATAACACAGAACAACCAAACAGTATTTTGCTATAATACATTCCTACTTAACATTTTTTTCAACCCCAAATCACATGGATGTATTCTTACAAGTTTTTTTTTCCTGATGTCATTTTCTATACTTCTAATTCTAGGTAAGGACTTTCTTTGCCTAAAATTCTATGATAATCTATGCGATGCAGGAAAAAAAACAATTTTAAGTGCTAGCTTATGGCAAACACAGTTGCACTGATATGTCTGCTGGAGTTTTCCATTCTTCTAATGTCAACAAATGCAAGTGATGGCAGAGTATAAGCCAGCAGAATTTTTTATTTTTTGATGATATTTGGAAATATGAAAGGAAAAATAATTAATTATCATCTCTATTTGGCCTATAAATAGCTCACTTATCTGTTGTAAGTTTTGGCTAGTTGATTTCTACTATTGCTCCCTTTTTGTAATAAGCAGCTCTTCAAGCCTTTCCCTCTGATTATAAAAGACTCAGATATTTGCTACTGTCAAAGAAACAGAGGACAATAGGAGAAAAGTGCAAGCACTCAGAAAAAAAGATCATGAAAAAATACCCCTTGAATCAGCTTTCACCCATGTTCTTAATCTTTCCTGTTCAGTTCTTTCTAAAACACAGAAATACCTGAAGCAAAACCAAATCAAAACCTATGCTTGACTGCTTCTGAAGGCATTCTCCCAGGAGACCAGGACCTATTCCCACTTTTGTGAATTGCAAAGAAACAATTTCAAAATGGGAGATCAGTTAGATACTGCCAGCAGACACCTTCACACTCTCACAGCCATGGAAAATCAGAAGTATAAAAATGGATCCAGGGAAAAAAAGAGCTTAAATCAAGATCCCTCACTTCCTAGCTGTTGGCTAGGCTATAAATTGAATTTAAAATGTGTTAGAAAAAAAATCTTTGTCCAGAGGCATTTCCAAATACTGGCTTAAGCAAGTAAACGGAGACAATGGTTGGTGTGTACAAGCATCTTAGAGGAACTCTTAACACTGAGCAGACTCCAGCCATTGTCACTCCAAGTCTAAACTGTTGACTAGAGGAGCTTTATGGCTCTATTCTTCTCTGAATTTTGGCAAGCTGTCTAAAAAATGTAATGTAGAGAGTTAATCCTTGACATGCAACAGTGCGGCCTTGCCAGTTAACTATGTCTGTCTGTACATTAAACACCTAGGTGCTACTGAAATGCAACCTATTCTTAGAGCTGTTTCCAGCATAGTTCAGTGTAAGCAATATGGCCGGTGCCCAAGATAGGCTTACGCCTCACATTCAAGTCTATTACAGTTCTAAATCAGCACAAGCCAGTTTTATCTGTATTTGCTGCAGTATGCATAATGCCAGTGTGTTGTGACCCTCAGCTGACTTGTGCTGATTGAGGTTTGAGGACACTCACAACCTAGAGTCATTAAGAATGCAGGTGCTTCAGCAGCAATTTAGTGACAAGGAGTGCCAATGGTTTCCAAACAAAAAGTATTTCCATCTTGTCATTTGGAAGACCTAAAATACATAAGGATTACTAAAACTTAGTAATACTTAGTAATACATCACATGATGAATTGCATCATGTAATATAATTACAAGAGTTTTAGTTTGCTCTTCATACACTTTTTCTAGTGCATACTTTTCAAATATTTAAAATCTGATCCATACAAATAAACTTGGGAGGGGGATAATCACCCTACATCTGTTTCCCACTTCCCCTGAGAAAGGCTGAAGAGATGGCCCTAAGGTACAAGAGTATGGATCTGTGCCTCTTGCTCTGTGCTTCCACTAACTGAATTCAGAGTTTGGCTGTTTGCCTTTGAATGCTCTGATGGCAGCATTACATTCAGGCTAAGCTCAGTCAGCTAAGCTAACTTTTTGCATCCTGGGATCCTATTCCACCAGCTGAATCCTTAGGTTTAAACGTCCAGCACTCACACATTGGACTAATCTTATCATCACTGTTCAAAAATAATTGAAACAGGTATTGAGCTGTGTCTGCATATAGATAAACAAAAAGCCCCACTCAGATAATCATTTTGCAAAGTTATGCAATTGCAGAAAGCAAACTGCTCATGCAATCTCTCTCTTTGGGAGTCTTCCAATGATTCAAAAAAAAACCCCACAAAAGTAAGGCAGTTGTCTAGGACAATTGGGAGACTGTTTCATAGAATCACAGAATATCCTGTGTTGGAAAGGACCCATAAGGATCACAGGATCCAGCTTTTGGTTCCACACAGGACCACCCCAAAATCAGACCATGTGACTGAGAGCAATGTCCAAACACTCCTTGAACTCCGGCAGCCCCGGGCTGTGACCACTGCCCTGGGGAGCCTGTTCCAGGGCTCAACCACCTTCATGTGAAGAGCCTTTCCCTAACCCCACCTCCCCTCCCCTGACACAGCTCCATGCTTTTCCCTCAGGCCCTGTCGCTGTCACAGAGAGCAGAGCTCAGAGTTGCCCCTCCGCTCCCTGTGAGGAGCTGCAGCTTCCATGAGGCCCCCATCAGCTCCGCTGCTCTGTGCTGAGCAAACACAGGGACCTCAGCTGCTCCTCACATGTTTTTCCCCTGCTACCCTTCACCATCTTGGTAGCCTTCTTTGAACACTATCTAATTGTTTTATGCCCTTTTATTTCCATCTGTATTAGGGCAGTAATACACAGCCTTGAGTAAATTGTGCCTGTGAGTTGGAGTTCTCCATCTCTGAATGGGTTTTTGGTTGTTATATTTTATTTTGTAAAGCACTAAGATCTACAGATAAAAGAGGTAGTATCATTGTTTCACAATTTTATCTTGACAAGCTTAAAATGAATTCTGCCATGCCAGTGGCACTGCTGTTTGGTTGTTTATCATGCACATTTTCATCATCCAGGAACAGATGTACTTTCTGGATAGTCTTCAAGATTGTTTTACAGAGAACTTTAGAGTATTTTGTTTTAATTTTATTTCTTTTATTGCTTATTTTCTTTAAGCTTTTTATCCTCAGGGACTTGGCTAAGCTGTGACCATTAAAAAATTATACAGCAATATGTAGTTTCTGTTTTCCATTTAAGCTAAATTTTACACAAATAAATCTCAAAGGATTGAATATACCTTCTCTATTTTTCTGACTGACTTCCTATGAATGCTGCTTTCTGTCTGGGCAACGTCACTCCTCTCTGTAGAACAATTATTAAAACCAAATGTTGCCTGAACTATGGATCATGTTTGCCGTGCTCCTAGAATTAGGAGCATAGTGATTTCCTTACCTTCCTGTTTGTCCAAGTTCTGTCATCAGGTTTACACAAACAAGTCAGGCAGTCTTTCCTGAGGCCAAGGAAATGATGACAAGCAGAGCAAATGAAAGTTGCAGAAAGATTGACCTATTCAAAAAAAAAACCCAGCAAACTTCTCAACTCAAGAAATTCCAAAGAGGACCAAACTGCTAACATAAACCTAATCTATCAGAAGTATTCTTAATCCAGATCACGACCTTGTTTTCTGTCCCCTTACTCCTTTACTGTTATTAAAGGTGAAGTACTTCAAAATTGACATATTTTTAAGTTTTGAAATGGACTCAGACTTCAGAAAGTTATGGCTGAAACCAGTCACAATTTGCAAAGAAAAATGCTGTGATCAGCTGCAGAAAAAAAAAAAAAAAAAAAGAAAAAAGAAAAAAAAAAAAGGGGGCAAAAGGATTTCAAAACGGCTTCAGAATAGTCATAAAGTCACTACAGCAGAGACTTCCAGAACTGTGCAAGAGTTGCATGCATGTAGCTCCTGTTACATTTTATAGGCACTGCATATCTGTGTTGTCTTAGCTGTTCTGAAAAAAACCCCACCTCAGTCAGCATGATTAATGCCGAATAACATAATACTGAATTTACTGCTTAATTTATACTCTCTCTGCAGACTGAAGCATTCTTCTCGAATTCTAAAAGCTTCTAGAGTAGCTTCAAATACAAATCTTAAGAAAATAAATCTTATTTCAGAAATAATTTCTTTTATTCCTCAAGTATTAAGCACAGAGCCAGAAGGAGACTTAAGACCTAGTGTATTCTGACATATTGCATCTACAAACAGGCTGGAAGCAGGCTAAGAGTCAGCCTAGGAATATTTTGGTAAGCCCAGGAAGCAACTCTGTCAAGGAAACAAAGAAATCTAACCTATTCCTATTTAATACTGAATTAACATTTATTTCAGCTAGACTGCATTTCTAGAGGAACTTTCAGGTAATAGGTAATCTATCTTTTACATTTGTAGTTCTACTTCTGGGTTTAAACTAGTCCCAAAAGCTGGCTAAGATGCATAAAGGCAACCTTTCCAGCAGGACCCAAAGAAGTTTTGTCTCCACACAGTCTGTTCCAAAGTACAGAAACGCTCCTTAGCAATGGGTAGAGAATTTCTGAACATTTTACATGAGTGTGTTGGCTGGTTCTCCCAGCCCTGCACAAACCAGATTCCCATGACACATCATAACAGGATCATTGCTCTACAATACAGAATAAGAAGGCCGGCAATCCCCGGTACATATAACAAGATACCATCTAATAAAACTGCCTGGATAGATCTAGCCTGAATGTTGCTCACAGAGGTGAAGTTACAAATGGGTACCATAACTTATTATTATGCCATTCTGTGCAAAACCAGTAACACTCTTAAACAGGTATGACTTTCACAAGGCTGGTGTATTTCAACCACAGCTACAGGGCAAATTGTATATTAGTATGTACCCCTTGCATACTAATTAGTAAATGCTGTAACACCAAGCAAGATACCTATTAATGGATTAAATTCTAGAATGCTGGTGTGTCTAGTTTTGCTATTCAAAAGAATATGTATTTTTTATACAAGAATGAATGCAATAATAGACTTGGGATTTATATAATAGTATAAGCTCTCCTTGATATCTTACAAATATACAAATTAATTGTTTTGACTTAAGTAAATATGTTCTTACATAATTAATAATTGTTACTATAAATAATGCAAGAGAAAGGATACTCCTTGGAATCTCAAAGATACAGTTAGATTTCACCAACATATTCCAGACTAATGTCTCCCAAAAATACAATAAGAGGAATACTTTTTTATTTTCTCATTGGTACCTACAAAGAGTTCTTAAATCTTCACATCAAGAAAGAAGCTTGCAAAGTAATAAAGGTATAGAACATGGATGTAAGTCTTGTCTCATTTCTAGAGGGTGTTCATGGGAAAAAAGCATCAATGAGTTTCAGTTCAGTAGCATCTCCCTGCCATTGTTTATAACAAACCCTTTAATACAGTAATACTTTTCATCACGTTCAGGACAACATACACTTTTCTCTGAAGCTACAGATGCATAGCAGAAGATTCACAGATTTCATACCCTGATCTACATTATCCCTCTTCTGGTTCTCAACATTCAAAGCAAATTCTGGCAAAGAACTGGCCAAAACATTAGCTAATGAATCTGTTGAGTTTATTGCCTGTGATCTACCACCAAAAACAAAAGAGAAACAACTACTTGTGAGAAGGGAGTGAAACAGAGGTAAAAGTCTGAAGCCGAATGAGAAAAATGAGCAAGTTGTATAAGGGCAAAACTACACTAGAGAAGAATTTAAGGCTGAGAGACCTGGGATTGTTCAATCTGGAGAAGAAAAGACTGAGGGGATGTTATCAGTGCTTATAAGTACCTAAAGGTGGGTGTCAAGTGGATGGAGCCAGGCTCTTTTCAGTGGTGCCCAGTGATAGGATAAGGGGCAATGGGCACAAACCGGAGTGTAGGAAGTTGTGTATGAACATGAGAAAGATCTTAATTGAGGGTGACAGAGCACTGGAGCTGGTTACCAAAGAGGTGGTGCAGTCTCCTCCTCTGAGAGATTCAAGACCCTACTTGGACACCTATATGTGTGATCTGCTATAGGTAACCTGCTTTAGCAGGGCAGTTGGACTGGATGATGTTCAGAGGTTCCTTCCAATCCCTACCATTCTGTGCTTCTGTGATTTAGCATCTTGAAATATAAGTCCACCCAAAAATATGGAGAGACTCTTTGTTAATTCCTTCCAGTTAATTCTAATAGATTCCACCTCATCTCTTTTTTTTCCTATGTAAAATGTGTAAATCTATAGTAAAAATTGTACTAACTGACATTTTTAGGTGTTCACTCTACTGTTCTTAATTCTGCACATTGTAGGCTAGCTTGTATGTATATACAGACAACAGCAGCAGAATTAAACATGAGATGTCAAATATCATTTAAAATACACACTTAAAAATTATCTCCCTTCTTCCCCATTCAACCTTCTTTTTCCTTACAAGCCACCTTTTTCTCATTTTTCCCCTTTTCCCCCTTATTTTCCTCTATCTTTTGTCAGTATTTTCTCCCTCTCCTAAATCTTCTCTTCAATCTCATTCTTTTTTGCCTTTCAAATTAGGTTTTAGCTAAAGTGTTCTCAATACATTTTGGATAAATGCAAACTGAATTGATACCACAGGCACTGGCCACTTCTGTTGTGTCACTTATTCTTTGCTAGTACCTGCAATAATGTATTGTGTTTACATTATATCCAATACATATATATATTGTTTCTGCTAATAGAAAGCAATTTCATATTGATTACAGAAGCTTCAAATGCATCTTTACTGAGGAAAAAAGAAAAAGCAATGTAATAAGATAAAGAGTAAATATAATAATCTGGCCTCGTGACAATACACAGTGTGTGTATATATGAAGAAGATTATAGGAGCTCAAAGACACAAAGACCAAGGGAAAAGGATTGTTATTCTGTGTACACAAAAGGCTAGGTTTCCTCATGAATAGCACTTAAATTAATGAACATTCCTTTACCTTGACACAAGCTATGTTACTCCCAGGCCCTCCTTGTCATCTCCTTCCAGATCCTATAGCCTGGAGGAGGAGGAGAAGAGAGCAAAGAAGGACAAGTAGACAGGGTTGTTCTCAATCTATCCAAAGAGACAGGAACCTTGCACAGCCTTCAATTATAGGAATAATATCTCTGTGAAGATTGGGTTGAATCTTCCAATCTTCCGATTGTTGAATCTTTCCAGTGAAATCAAATATTAGAACTAGCTTCTGCTAGTACATGTGAAAAGTTGAAAGAGAAAGTGAGGAAAAAAAAAAAAAGAGAAGAAAAGTGGAAGTTTAATTAAAAAATGATTGAAAAAAATTGGGTGTGATTACCATTGTAAGCTTTCTTTGCTTGTACAGTACAGCAGTAGCAGAAGGAATTCTTCTTGGTGATGTTGGTTTGGCTTTAGCCCAAGACCTGTGCTATCTAAGCATTTTATCTTTACATTTTCTTTCTTTGTTTTTACTGGGATTGCTGTAAAAGTTATTTTTACGTTAATGTTCTTATTTAATTCCTCTCCCTCAAAATTTCTTTCCTTTAATCTGCTCTTAAGAAAATTTGGCAGAAAATTTTCCTCTCCATATAAAGAGATAGGAAAAAGGTCTTTTGCCCTCTTAAACTATTATTGGACTTGTTAGATACGGAGGAGGAAGTAGAGAATCATAACAAAGGGAAATAAAAGATAAAGTTACAGTCATTGCTCATTTAAAGCTACTCCAGTAAGCATAAACCACAGGCAGATTCAAACTTGCCTTAACAATAATTATTACTTTGCCCATCTTCTGTTGGTTTGCCTATTCCAACCACATGCTTATTCATGTTGTAAATACTTAAGGCAAGATGATGTTATTTACTTCATTCATTGTGGTCGTTTTGTGCCCATGGCTTTTTGATGTAATTTTGTTTGGACAAAGTTTTAGAGGCACATACAAAAAAAAAAATTCAACTTGACTTTTTTTTTGCCTCCTGGGGGTGATGCAAAACCAACCTTAGACACTCTCGTCATTAATGTAATATATTGTTAATATTCTTATTACTCTCTATAATTTATTCTTGGCAGCATTGGGAAGGCCTCCCTGCCCACTCCACGTTAAACAATCAAACTTTTTTATCTAATTCAAAATAGAAATAAGGCTGGTTCCAGAGAACCTGATGATCCCTATCTTACCATTTGGAGAAGAGAAAAATACACCATTTTGCTTCAACTTTTCCCCTTTCACAGTTACATCACAAGTTCAAAAGAGCAAAACACTGTTGACCTCCTTGTGAACTCACACCTAAACTGTTTCACAGAAATGCCAGCAAGAGGTGCTCAAGCACTAGCTACGTGTTGTCCCTTAAGATTTGCATGCTGCCCCAACTTCTCAGCTTCACCACTTAGGGGAAAAACATCTAAAGCTATTTGTGAAGTAGTATCTTCCACGGTATGAAAAGTGCTATTTAAGGAAGTACTAAGTGTAACTGGCTTAAGTGCACAGTGTAAGCAATATTAACTGTAGCTTTATTTAAATTCAGAAATCACCTGCATTTA